CCCTGTCCCAATCGTCGGGGGGCCGGATTAAAAGGCCCAAGGGGCGGGATGTGGCCCGCGGGCCGTAGTTTGCCCACCCCTGGATTAGACAATGGGTTCAAAAGAATTTTAAGTTTGATGAGCAGATTTAGTTAGAAATTAACCCAATTCTTTTGTTGGAAGCATGAGAAGTGACAACAGGAGAGGACTGTTTAAAATCAGCAGAAAGTTTACTGAATGTCTGATCACAGGTAGGCCTTACAGCACTGGGATCAGAGGGATAGAGCTCCCGCAGGAGTTCCATCCACTGACCCCGAATTAAGGTCTTACAATACATTTTCTCTTCTTGGGCTGCTCCACCCTGGACAGAGGTGCAACCTTCAATAGTTTGTGATCCTATTGGTCATTTGGTGCGAGCCGGAGCTCGCACTTCCATGTTGAAATATGGTAAATCTAGGTATGTGTGTGTGGGTGTCTCTCAGGTGGTGAGCCCCCGGCCTCTGCAGGACATCCCAAGACAAAGCAAAGCTTGGGATATGCTAAGTGGGTCGAGGTGTGATTGTAAAACAGGCCTTTGCTAAAATGTAAATAGGCTGTCTGGTCTCAAAGAGATGCAGAAGTTACAGTATTCAAAGTGGGCAGATTCTACTTGATTCTCATCAATACAATTGAAAGATATATAAGCAAGGAAAATAAATGTATTAAAAATAACCAAAGCTCAGTAGTTCTGGACAATCATCAGTACAGCTGTAATATGCATAAACAAGTAAGATAAAGTTATGAAAGGTAACTAAAGGAAAATAAGGTATGAGAAGTAACTAAAGCTTATAAAGTAACTAGAGTCTATAAGACTCAAATCTTACAATTTGATACTTGATTCAGATTCAACAAAATGAATCCCTGCTGTATTTATGAGCAGGATGTTTTCTACATGTTCTGAACAGGGCAGTGAAGGCAGGAAATGGTGGAAAACCTGATCTGTCACAATAGAAGTAAATGATGAAATGTTGTGTTGGTTCCCACTGAGATGTGTTATTCTGTGACATGCGGCAAGGAGAGCAGATCAGTCAGTGATGTGAACGTTCCCTGTCCCACACACAAGTACTTTTTGTCACCAGTGTGCACATTAAGCAACTCTGAAGGGTATTAAGAAGAGATTAGAGCAACAGTTCATTGACCCAGTTGGGACTGGTCTGCTGCTGCAGGAAAGAGTAAAACGCAGTAAACAAAACTGCAATATGAACAAAATTATAAAAGAGCATTCAGCGGTTTGGTTAGCAGTTGTTTTATTTACCTCTGTTCTGTTCTTCCTTCCTACATTGTTGGTGGTGTGATACTTTGCAGAGAATAACTCTTCCTGAATGCGTACTTAGTTACTGGTTGTGTGTGTGTGTGTGTGTGTGTGTGTGTGTGTGTGTGTGTGTGTGTGTAGAGGTTTATGGGAATGGTCCTGAACAGAGGCCCCCAGCCTGCTCCCCGAGGACATGCTAATTGATTCTTCCTGGTTCTGTGTTTTTCTGTGGTCTCTGTCCCCCGAGCCTCCTAAATGGCCACAGTCCATTTAGTTGAGAGCAGCAACAAATAGAATAAGAATTATAATCTGAGCTCCCACAGTCTTGTTCTTTTTTTTACCAATCAAGTACATTTAGGTTCAACTGACACTGGGGCTGTCATGATGTCAGATTTTCATTGCACGATTATTGTGGCCAAAATATTCATGATAATGATATCTACAGAAAATATTAAGAAACAAAGTAATGCTATCTGTCAGATTTATCTTTAGCTTTATTTTTGCCAAATGACTTGCATTCAAAATTTGAGTATAGGGAGGTGGAGAGAGAGAGTCTGTAACTTTTTTGAAGGTGACGATCTGCTAACCCCTGGACACAGGAACACAGCATAACCTCTTGCTCTGGGGTGGCATGTTTGAAACCTGTTAAAGCTCCAAACACTACTTGAAGTTTTTAAGTGGAGATATTCACTCGGTAATCGACTACCATGAACCTGCAAACAGAATTCCCTGTAGACCTCCCTCTTACATGTTATTAATTCAGTACAAGACCCCAAATCCTCCCAAAATAACAAGTCTGCATTGATAGGCAGCTCCCTCCTTATACCTTCAGATGTTACTCTACTGCGAAAGCTTTAGAAGCCAGTTTGGCTCTTTGAAGAAGTGTTAAGTTTGGTCTGAAATAACCCATAAAAGCTATGTATGACCATGATTTTAGTGCACGGTGATTAGCTGACATTAGTTAACTTCCTAGGAATGCACACCCAGTTTATAATATACAAGTTGGAATAAGTATATCATTGACTTATCTTAAATACAAAAGCGTGCAAAAAGAACAGTTACTGGTCCAGAGATCAGTTGTAAATGCAAAGTGTTTTCAGCTTCAGACAAAGAGTTGACAATGTCAGCTTTTGCTTTTAGGTACAAGTGTGGGATTTCTTTTTCAGAAAAGTGTTGTCTTCTTGGGATTTTTTATTTTGGAGCAGCTGTTCATCAGTGCTATTCTGGTCTCTCTGCAGTTCTAAAGGACATCATGCCTTTGCTATGAAGTAGGCCAGTGATTTAGTGATGGCTTCATCCTGACATGAACTAGTACTTTTCTTACCCACTGATAGCATTAGCTGACCTGAATCCCTGGCTCTCTTTTGCTTTTTTGACACTGCAGGATGATGGAGGAGAAGGTGGATAAACAATTTGGTGGTATTGTTCCCTTTTGTGCTAACTGTTGATTGGCACCTCCTGGAGATGGGAGTGTCTAACATCCCATCTTTTTTAAGGAAGCCAAAGAATGCTCACACTGGTGACCTAACTCTTTTCAGGTGCAGATAGATTGTCCCGCTCTTTGATTTCCTCCCACATGGTTTTTCACGGTAGTAGTTGCCACACACTCTGGTACGGTAGCTACCTAGCTGGTTGGTCTTCTTCTTTGTTTTTTTTTCCCCATTGAGTGGCAATCAGTGTTTGAGTGCGCTGCATAGAAAAGCACTATACAAGTATTAGATCATTCACCATTTTACTGGTATAGTGCGACACCCCTAATTGACACACATGCTTTCACAAACTGTATTGTGAATTTTAGAGTATGAAAACATATCACCACCAAAATGGTTGAGAGCGCACAAACCAAGTCATCTGTTATGCTCATGATTCTGTCCTCCCTTGCGCTCAAATTTGATTCTGCTCTGACACATCAGGGCCTGCACACTTTCAAACTCTGACTTGCAAAATGAGGAGTGCTTGAAGTTTGGTTTGTGCTCTCAAATGTTTTGGCGGTGATATATTTTCATACTGAAGCATCAAGATTTGATTTCCATCCATCCATTATTTATCCTGCTGACTGTGAATAAGGTCGCGGGGGCCTGGAGCCAATCCCAGCTGACACTGGGTGAGAGGCGGGGTCCACCCTGGACAAGTCGCCAGTCTGTCACAGGGCTGACATGTAGACAAACAACCACACACACCCACACCCACTCCTATGGGCAATTTAGAGTCACTAGTCAACCTAAGCTGCATGTCTTTGGACTGTGGGAGGAAGCTGGAGTACCTGGAGAGAACCCACGCAGCACAGGGAGAACATGTAGACTCCACACAGAAAGGCCTGCGTTGGCCGGGGCTCAAACCGGGAACTTTCTTGCTGTGAGGTGACCGCTCTAACCACTGCGTTGGTGTGCCACCCAAGATTTGAATTTTATGTTGTATTTAGAGCTGTGACAATGAATCATTTAGCCAGTTAGTCCATGACAGAAAATTACAATTATTCAGCAACTGTTTTTCTGTTAATAAGTTGGTGTCAAGGTCAGATTCATCATAACATTTTTCCCTCTCTCCCTGTCTGTTTCTGTGTCTGTCTTTCAGGTTGGGGCAGTCAGAGTTCCAAGGTCCAGATCCATCATAACACATGGCTACATTTCCCCGGCCACAACCTGAGATGGATCCTCACCTTCTTGCTGCTGTTTGTCCATGTCTGCGAGTTTGCAGAGGGCGTTGTGTCCAATGAGTGAGACCTCAAAGAGATGTGTTGGCACATGTGTTATCGCACAAAATACTAGTGTGTTTCTGTTGGCTTTAGCAAAGTTAGATGATATAATGTTAATGAAACCGGTGTCGTTTTGCTTCCCACTGTAGCAATAGGGACCACCTCCATCTCTACATGCCTGCATTCATGGGTTTCATAGCAGCAACAACATCAGTTGTTTACTATCACAACATAGAGACATCTAACTTTCCCAAACTGTTGCTGGGTAAGTCTCAGCCCTGATGGCCTCATCTTTATTCTTTAAGGTCTATTTGTGAAAAACTGGATAGCTACACATTTCCCAGCCTTTAAATGAGCCAGTATGTATTTTTACATGCAAATTAGGCCACTTAATAGCTGCTCTTTATTCAGCATGACCACAGCAGCCTAGTAATTTTACATTTTATCACTTTTCTCTTGCTGCACAGTCCTTTTCATCTACTGGGTGCTGGCATTTATCACAAAGTCCATTAAGCTTTGGAAGTATGCAGAGTTCAGTGTTGGACCACGGCACCTGAGATTCTGTATCACAGCCCTGATAGTGATCCTGTATGCGCTGCTGATGGCTGTGGAGATCAACGTCATAAGAGTCAGGGTAAGTAGTATCACTTCACAGTAAATAACTGTTAATGTGTTGAACTCAGGAGGGAAAGTGAAACAACAAGTTCCTAATTTGTCACATATGTTAATTGTTCTTGTGTCTTCTTGTGTCTCCCTGTAGAAATATGTTTTCTTTGCAAACCCCCAAAAGGTGAAACCACCAGAAGACTTACAGGACTTGGGGGTTCGCTTTCTGCAGCCGTTTGTCAACCTGCTCTCCAAGGTAGACAAACACATTTTAGATTTTAGACATTTTTTGACACTAAAGAATTTAACAAATTCAAATGTTTAGGTCACACGTAGATGTTACAAATCAAGTTAGACCTGAGAAGTGCCTCAGGTTCACAGTTTCAGCTCACCTTTTGTCACACCCCATCATAATGTTTATGGCTCATCAGTACTGGCAGTCACAGATGCTACTAGAGCACTACTTGGCAGCAGAGCACAGAAAGTCTTCTTGGCACATTTTTAGGCAACATATTGGTGGATGAATCCTCTCATCATTGGAGCCCATAAGAGGCCTATAGAGCTGAAGAAGATCGGCAAGCTGCCCATCGCCATGAGAGCCCTCACCAACTACCTGCGGCTCAAAGATGCCTACGAGGATCAGAGGGTGAGCAGATGGAGGCCTAACCCCGATTTAACACTAGAGCTATGTTATGTATGAAGAAACACAGACTTCGGTCCGTCTCTCTTCACACAGACACCGGAGGATCCGGATCGTGCCCCATCAATCTGGCGCTCCACGTATCGAGCCATTGGACGTCCCATCCTGCTCAGCAGCACCTTCCGCTACCTGGCAGACTTGCTGGGCTTTGCTGGGCCTCTCTGCATCGCTGGCATCGTGAACCACCTGAAGGATGGTGATAACGCAGATGCATCAGACAAGGGTGTATGTATGAGACTGTGTGAGCCAGAGAGGCGGGTGTGTGGACTTGTTGTGACCTGTTTAGCTTCAGTTTGACAGTGGAGTGGTCTTGAGGTCTTCTGCAGAGAGGGAAGCAGGGTTCATGGAACAGAAAACAACACGACTGACATTTTACTCAACAGTAAAGACGAATCAAAGGCTGGAAGTCGGCTGTGATAGTCATTAAGTGAACTGCATATAGCTGCTACATATATAATAGTATGCACTGGAGTAAATAATAGTGGCCGCTCACTGCAGAGGTCTGCTTCTGACCTCGACAGCTGTGAGATAGAAAATTACTGCTTTGACTTTGTGCAGGAACTGATGGACCCAGTGCCATGAGAGAGTCACATTTGAACAGCTGGTGGTGATCACAGACGACAACTTGCAACATCATTCGTTTCTCATTAGAGAAATAACTGGGAATCTGAATCTGTGTTTTTTTGCAGGTTTACACAGAATCATTTTATTAGAGGTTAAGTAGAAATTTGTGCATCATCATGGGCTGTCCACACGTCTCTCACACACACACAAATTGTGTCTGTGCTTGTCTGTGTTGCTGAGCAGTCCAGACAAGCAACAGATGACCCACCCTCAATGTAATGCCACCGTTGCTCTCAGTCATTATGTTACCATCAGTTTGTGTGTGTCTGTGTGACTACATGTCTCAGTGTGATGGATGCTATGTCTGATGTGACAGTATATGTGTAATGTCATAATGCGCTGGTGCTGAAATGACATTACTCTTCCACACAAACGAGCACACATAGTTTTTTATAAGTGATAATACACGTTTCCTAAACCAAACTTTAACCATGACATCTACTTGCCTAAAACTAAAGTTAACCGTTAAATTTAGGTTAAGCCTTAACCCTAAAACAGCACCTAACAGAAGAAATGAGGACTGGCCAAATATTATCACCTTTCCTCACTTTCCAAAACTCAAACCCTCACATCTTTGAATGTAGAACATGTAGAAGTTTGGTGCTTATGCTCCATAAGTGTTGATAAAATCTTTTTGGCGATTGATTAACCAGTTAATCGACTGATCATTTTGGCACTACATTGATAATCTAGACTTCATTATCCCAGATTTTTCAGATTCTGCAGCAGTGTTCATAAATCAGTGTCGGCTGGACAAACCCTGTAACTATTACACTAATACAAAACAATAATACTGGCACATGGCAGCACGATACAGAAGGTGTTGCAGGCAGACAGAAAGCAGACACTGTTACAGAAGATGCTGGCAGACAGAGCACAGACACTGATTCCTCTTAAATCCAAGCCAGACTCCTCCAAAGGCCATAACGCAGACAGAGGTGTTAGGAGAGGCATTTTGTAATGACTGTATTTACAGTGACGGGACACTTTATTAGTTACACCTGTTCAACTGCTTGTGAACGCAAATGTCTAATCAGCCAATCACACTGCGGCAACTCGGTGCATTTAAACATGGTCAAGACGATCTGCTGAAGTTCAAACTGAGCATCAGAACGGGGAAGAAAGGTGATTTAAGTGACTTTGAACGTGGCGTGGTTGTTGGTCTGAGTATTTCAGCAAGTGATGATCTACTGGGATTTTGTCGTTCTGAAAAATTGGACAATAGAAGATTGGAAAAACGTTGCCTGGTCTGTTGAGTCTGGATTTCTGCTGTGACATTCAGATGGTAGAGTGAGAATTTGGAGTAAACGGCATGAAAACATGGATCCATCCTGCCTGGTATCAACAGTTCAGGATGGTGGTGGTGGTGTAATGGTGTGAGGGGGGGAGGGTTTCTTGGCACACTTTGGGCCCCTTAGTACTAACGCAGCATTAGTTCAGGATGGTGGTGGTGGTGTAATGGTGTGAGGGGGGGAGGGTTTCTTGGCACACTTTGGGCCCCTTAGTACTAACGCAGCATTGTTTAAATGCCACAGCCTGCCTGAGTATTGTTGCCATCCCTTTACACCAACCCGGTACCAGCAAAGTGTACCTAATAAAGTGGTCAGTAAGCTTATTCGTTCAGTCTGTTTGGTTGAATGTTGTTATAGTCGATGGTGAAAATGTGTTCATGTGGGTCTGTGCCTGTTGAAGTGGGCACAATGGGCAACAGAGATGGAGAACAGAGCAGGGCTGCATTTCTGAGTGACATGGAAAATTCCCCACTCACCTCTCACTCTGTAGATATAGACGGGAGGTCTGCTGAGCATCAGACTGAGCTTTTTGATGCTACTCTGTGTGCGTGTTTGTGTGCGGGAGTTTTCATCCTGTTGTATGAAATTAATCACAATATATATACAGTAATATTAATTATTAAAATTATTACATTCAATTCGTTATTATATAAAATAAGTGTGTGTATATATAGAATCAGAATCAGCTTTATTGGCCAGGTGTGTTGGACACATGAGGAATTTGACTCAGGTACATCGGCTCTCAATGTGCAAACAGCAAACCAGCATAAGGCTGTGTAATATAACAAAAATAAGCAGTATTTACAAGCAACAGAAAGTGCAAACCATGCAGAATATAGGTCTGGGCAACCAGTTCAGAAACTTTCTGGATATATTTTGGTGTATGTATGATATTTTTTTCATGTGCACCATGACGTATGATCATATTACCCAACCATAGGTGTACATGTAACCCTGGATTTTTGATGATGGGGACATCTATACTCTTTGTTGTCACCAATCAGCTTGATCAGCCTGGTACATTGAGCAGTACATAGACTAGTGGATAGGATTCAGTGCTCTTGCCGCTGTGCCCAGGTTTGAGTCAGGGTTGCGTCAAGAAGGGCATCCGGTGTAAAACGTGCCAAATGGAGTCGTGAGTGTGACGATGCGCTGTGGCGACACCTAATAGGAAAAGCCGAAAGTGACATTCATATTTATTGCACATCCATCCATTATCTATACTGCTGATCCTGAATAGGGTGAATAGGGTTGCGGGGGGCTGGAGCCAATCCCAGCTGACACTGGGCGAGAGGCGTGGTCCACTCTGGACAGGTTGCCAGTCTATCACAGGGCTGACATGTAGACTAACAACCACACACACTCATTCACACTCCTACAGTCAATTTAGAGTCACCAGTCAACCTAAGCTGCATGTTTTTGGACTGTAGGAGTACCCAGAGAGAACCTACAGAGGCACAGGGAGAACATGCAGACTCTGCACAGAAAGGCCCTGGGTCAGCCGGGGCTCGAACCCCGAACCTTCTTGCTGTGAGGCAACAGCTCTAACCACTGCATTGCTGCGCTGCACCGGTTGTTGCACATTAAATAAAATTTTGACTCTGAAAGTAAAAAGGAAACATTGTACTGTTTCTAAGGATGGCAGTAATAAAATATTTACATATAATCCACCAAAGTTTGCACATAATGTCTCTCATTCAGTGATTAAAATAAAGATTGTTGCACAAAACAACTAGTTTTGCTGAATCTGTGCACTGAAGAAACAGCAGATCTGATACAAGTTCATGTTAGGGTGGTCACTTTGTTCGTAGTATGTGCAGTTTGCAAAGAAGAACTTGCTGTTTTATTGTAAGTGTGTGTGTGTGTGTGTGTGCGCGCTTGTGCTTATAGGAGATGTACTTTGGTGTTTACTTCATGTCCTCAATCAAGCTGCTGCAGAACACTCCAGTCCTGGCTGTTCTTCTCTTCCTGGCTTTAATCCTGCAGCGGACCTTCCTGCAGGCCTCGTACTATGTTACCATTGAAACAGGCATCAACCTGCGGGGAGCCTTGCTGGTGAGTGAAATATCCTAGCAAGATAAATGTAATAAATTGAATTTTGTTTCCATATTGAGGTGTTGCTTTGAGAAGTTTAACAAATCTTAAGTGTATAGTTTTAAGAGCCCATGGCTGCTCATTTCACAATATGCACCTGATTTGATAGCAGATCATTTTAAATACTGAGTTTACAGAGACCTAGCATGCACTGTGAAAACTGTCCAGCTGATTTCAGTGCTGAAAACAAACAGTATGAGTTTCCCTATTCCAAGGGTCAAAAATCTCCAGGGTGCTCTAAATAAATGTTATCAAAATACATATTTCTACATTTTTCAGTCATGTCAGCCATAAATTAATTTGGTTGAACCTCTCAGTGGAATACAGCCTCTGGCATTTAGACCATGGGATTTTGAACCACACAAAACTATTCTGCTGAAGGTTGGAGTGCCTTGGTGGGAGCCTCTGTCATAGTTCTGCTAGCTCCCATCCAATACCTCATAGCAACAAAATCCTGCGTCTGTCCATTACACACATTTTCATGAAAATGTGTGTAATGTGCTGGATTAGTTCAGATCAGACCTTCTCATAGACAACCTATGTGTCACTACATGCATTTTAAATACATCATATAAGGAATACATGATGTGAAAAGATGAGATTTTATATAATAAAAGCCAAAACATAAATCTAATTTATTACTAGGGCTGGGTATCAAACCTCAGCATTTTTTGATTGGACAAATTTAAATTAAAGTTTAGTAAATTTTAGAACATTTTATTCTTTCAATTTTTTGTACAAATCTTTTTTTATTTAATAAAGACTTTGTTGTGGTACCTGTATCATCTTGGTTCTAGTATCGGTACATTTCCAACAACACGCAGCCCTGATAATCATGTTAACTTTAAGTGTTGTAATGTTATAATTTCATATTTGTTTCATTAACTAGGCAATGATTTACAACAAAATCCTGCATCTGTCCACCTCCAACATGTCTATGGGGGAGATGACACTGGGGCAGATCAACAACCTGGTTGCCATAGAGACCAACCAGCTGATGTGGTTCCTCTTCCTCTGCCCCAACCTGTGGGCCATGCCTGTACAGGTAGGACTCCATACATTACTGGCTATACTTCAGTGCTACAAAGGCATTAAAATGTTTATACTGTATGGTGATGTTTCTCATCTTCTGTTTTGTTTGCAGATTGTGATGGGAGTGGTCCTACTCTACTATTTACTGGGCTGGAGTGCCTTGATGGGAGCATCTGTCATAGTTCTCCTAGCTCCCATCCAATACCTCATAGCAACAAAGCTGGCAGATACACAAAAAAACACACTAGTAAGTATTATACTTCATGAGCTTCATGATGTAAAACGTTTTGTCTTGTATTGTTAGTTGCAGATTGGTCAGATGAATACATTTTTATCCCCTGCTGTCTCTTCCAGGAACACTCTACAGATCGTCTGAAGAAGACCACAGAGATCTTAAAGGGCATAAAGTTGCTGAAGCTGTACGCCTGGGAGAATATCTTCTGTGATAGTGTGGAGGAGACCAGAGGCAAAGAGTTCACCAGTCTCAAGACCTTTGCTTTGTACACATCTATGTCCAGTAAGATGAAACCATGAGTTTGAATTAGGCCAACTGACATTCTGTATTATTGCAGAAAATGGCAATTACAGAATATCTTTAAATACTTAATATCACAGAAAATCAAGTTTAAGTAGTTGTTGATTTGCTTTGTAGTTGAAATACTTGATATATTTAGACCTTGAAGTATGTTGTGAAACTTCACTGAAACATTACTTACTTCACTGAAACATTACTTAATTCATCTAAATTACTTTTCTACTTTGCTTAAAGCACTGCAGTAAAACCTGTTGTCTGTCTCTTTGCAGTTTTCATGAATGCTGCTCTTCCCATCGCTGCTGTGCTTGCGGTAGGGCAGTGCTACCACATTTGCAGTGAGACACCTCATTAGTGGGAAATCAATAAAGCAGTAAACAAAAATATCAGCATAGGAGAGGAATGGTAAAATTTGAAATCTTGTTTTGTAGACGTTTGTGATGCATTACTTCATCACTTGCACCGTTCCTAGTCCTGCTGAGGCCTTTGCAGCTCTAGCGTTGTTCCACATCCTGGTCACCCCGCTCCTCCTGCTCTCCACTGTTGTCAGATTTGCTGTGAAGGCTCTGGTCAGGTGAGTCTGTGTGATATAATCTTGCCTTGTGTCGTATCCATTTTCATTATAAAGATACTGACTGCTACTGGTGGGTCTAACTGGTAAGACTATTTTGAGTGAAAGAGAGAGAAGGGGATACAGGCCTGAGTAAACAAGGAACTAGAAGTGGTTCCAGTCTAATTTAAGGAACATGAAGGAAACCTGAGGGCAGTGAGGAGAAACTCTATGCTCCTGAGAGAATACTGGTATTGTCACAATGACATGTACTCATGGTCTGTGTGTCCACAGTGTCCAGAAGCTTGGCGAGTTTCTTCAGAGTGATGAAATTGGAGATGACAGCTGGAGAAATGGTGACATGTCTGTTCCCTTGGAAGCTGGAAAAAAACATTCAGGAACGGTGAGTCTCACTGATACTGGATCAGTCAACAAACCTGATAAATGATCATTTACTGCAGAAAGCAAATAGTTAATCAGTTTTTATTTTCTAGCTAATTTAATATAAAAAATCACAGAGACATATCTGTATGCTACAGTACTCACAGTCTAGATTGTATCGTTGTATCAGCCATTGTTGTACCCTGTACATAGCACAGGGTTAAAAGATTAGGCTTTCGCTGTGTGTTTTGTATCAATAAAACAGACCTTATTTTTACCTTACCTTGTTACCTTTACTTTAACTAAAGTGTCATCTCAGTTATGCACCTGACCGTAGTGCACTTCTTTGAAAAAGCACTGCAGTGTGATACGTATCTTTTAACTAATCTGTAGTTCACACACCCACACACATGCAAAATTTCAGGCACATATTTTGTCCTTGTTTTAAGCCCTGGATACCTGTAAATTCTAATTTCAGTGTTGATATGTGCATATGCAATGATGCAAGACAGCAGTAACGGTAGTAGTAGTAGCAGCGGTAGGTCAAGGGTCAGCTGAACCTACATTACGTTTTGTTCTAAACTTTGGTTGCATTGTAAAACTGTGTGGATGTACATCTATGAAAAGTATGGAACGTGAAAGTTGGCTTCCCCCAAAAATAATGGATGTTTACATTGGTTCTGTTCTATTTCCAAATAAATGTTTTAGATAAAATGATTAAATGTGTCAAATTTTCAAATGCTGTTTTTCTGAAAGGATTCCATTAACATGTTATTTCTGTACCTACATAAATAGATAGATACTTGATGATGTGGTTAGCAATCCCCTCAATGTCCTCACCGCTTGACTCCTGCAGCACTCCCCAGTCAGTACACTGAAAGCAGTCCCTCAGAGCTTCCTCAGCCTCAGGAGACCACTTCCTGAAGGAGTGTGTGGTAGTTGGTTGCCTGACTTCCTGTGGTTTGTAGTGAGGCTGAAGCAGAACCAGATTGTGGTCTGATTTCCCCAGTGGTGGCAGAGGAGTGACATTGTATGCATCCTTCACATTAGCATAAGGAAGTCAGTAGTCCTATTTCCTCTGGTTGGACAGTCCACAAACATCACTGATCACTGTGCTGCATCTGCAGTCTCGCGATAGTCGAGTGGATGATGTCTCGAGATGCTTCCGCATTTTCCCATGGGGGAATGTAAACAAAGACAAAAAATGGCGTGTGAAAGCTCTATGGGCATGTATTAAGGCTAGAGACTCATGGCTTAAAGTTCAATGTCCTGACAGCAGATTTACATGCCCTGGGTTACACCACCTGGTGTTAATAAAGATTGCAAGTCCCCCACCTTTGTGTTTCCCACTCACCTTGGTGTCTCTGTCTGTGGGGTAGAGCTATGTTAGCATCTGAGATGCTAGTGGTTAGCCATGTCCAGTGAAACAAAGCAAACTACACTCCCTGTAGATCATTGTGTTCTTCACCAGTGCAGGTAGTTCTTTGGTCTTGTTGGCCAGTGAGTTAACATTACCCATAACCACTGATGGAACTGAGGGGTTGTACCTCCACCACTTTGCCAAGCACCTAGCCTTTAGCTTAGCGTCAGCTCTACAGCCTCGGTACAGCTGCCTCACTTCCTGAGATATGTGGGGAACCTAACCAGTGCAGGCCATTGTCCAGAGGGTGGACAGCTGATCCCTCGAATACATGAGTCCACAGCCATCTTGGAGTTGGAAAAAAATCCATGTCGATAGAATAGATAGAACAAATAAGCACTACACGATGTGTGTCATGAGAAGTGGTACAGGTGAAGAACACAGTAAAAGAGCAAAAAAAAAAAGGCTGCCACTTGTGTCTGATTAAATTTTAACCATTATGGGTTTAAAAAAAACTGCACAAATAAGAACAAGGAAGTCAAAAGAGACAGTTTTCCTAATTTATTATAAAACTTGAGGGGTTTGTAAAAGGAAATCTAAAATCCTCCTGACTGAAATGATTCACAAATCCCAAGTGTAGTTGGCCACAAGGTTTGCACACATCTCAGGGGGGATTTTGACCCACTCCTTTTTGCAGATCCTCTCCAAGTCATTAATGTTTCGTAGCTGATGTTTGGCAACTCGAACCTTCAGCTCCCTCCGCATGTTACTGTACAAGCAATTAGACCATTTGTTAAATCCAAACATTTATTGTATATTTAAAACAGATGGTGTTAACAAAGCACACTGAGGGTGCCAAGAAATGTCTTTAAAGTGTTGTGTTTAACAACCAGTGTTTCCTCATGGACAATTTGGATCTTGGATGACACTGCACACATTCCTTCCATGTTACCCTAGGTGACTCACATCGTTTTCATAATGGCAACAGGTTGGTTTAACAGGGTGCTCAGTGGCGCTGTATAACATCAGCCCAGACTTGAGCTGGGACAAGTTCCTAATGAGCAATTAAGCAAATCCTCTGGGAAGACTTGACAAAGATGTACAAAGGTGGGCAGTATCTGTGACTAGCAGGGAATCAGGTTCATATAAATGAGTGCGGTGAAATAAGAAAAACCCCATCAGCATCAGGGTTCGACATTAACCATGGCCCATGACCATGAAAAGTTACTGAGTGGCCAC